GAGAGAGAGCTTAGGAAGTGGGTTTCCACCCTGATTGTCAGAGGTAACCCATGCTGTGCTTAGAGAGATACAACATCTCACCAGAAATATCAAGCTACTTCATCAAAATCAGGGAATCAAACTCAGGTCTTCTGCATGTGATTGTGACAGCAAAGTGCCTAACTTCTACACCACAGAAGCCGCTGTTCTTGCTGTCCCCAGTTCAAAACCCAAAGATACTGATATCAATATTACACCAAGCCAGTTACCAGTTGGCCCACAAGAATTACATGACACAAATGAAAATTTTATTAAAATAGAAGTGATGAAAGATAATTTTATTTCAATAAGCAGTAAGTAAAAAAATACGACCCAAAATAAACAATAATAGAAATACAATATTTCACAGCAAGCGGAAATGTTTGGGAGGAACTCACCAACTACTGGCCCAATGTTTCTTGTTCAAATACAGTCAAACCAGCTCTAACAGCCACCTGTATAAGACAATCACCTGTACAAACAGCCACCTCTGTAAGACAATCACCTTTACAAACAGCCTCCTTTGTAAGACAATCACCTGTACAAACGGCCACCTGTATAAGACAATCACTTGTACAAACAGCCGCCTCTGTAAGAAAATCACCTTTACAAACAGCCACCTTTGTAAGACAATCACCCGTACAAACGGCCACCTGTATAAGACAATTACCTTTACAAACAGCCACCTCTGTAAGACAATCACCTTTACAAACAGCCATCTCTGTAAGACAATCACCTTTACAAACAGCCACCTCTGTAAGACAATCACCTATACAAACGGCCACTTATGTAAGACAATCACCTGTACAAACGGCTACCTGTACAAATGACCACCTGTATAAGACAATCACCTATACAAACGGCCACCTCTGTAAGACAATCACCTTAACAAACAGCCACCTCTGTAAGACAATCACCTGTACAAACGACCACCTCTATAAGAAAATCACCTATACAAACGGCCACTTCCCAGTGCATTTCTTTTTTACATCGGAATTTTCTATGAAAACCACCCGTTGTCAAGGAGAAAATGACCATCTTCTTAGACAGATTGACTCGTACACAGAGTCATTAAAAATGTAAGTAAACACAAGAAGGAATGGGAAGGGGCCATTTGTCCAGGTGATTATCTTATACAGGTGGTCATTAGAGTAGGTTCGACTATAATGACACTGAGTAAGACATTCACTAGTCTAAGATAGCCACTTTTTTTTCTCTCCTCACAAATGGGTAGCCATCTTCGTGTCAATTTCGACAATACATTAAGTACAGAGGTATATTTATATGAGAGCCTATTTATTATTGAGGGGTACACCCTATCAAGTTTGATAGAGGCAACTCTCGTTGTTCACTGGATGACATCAGGCTCAAGCTTGGTTTATGTTTTACTTGGGGGAAAACAACTGGAATTGCCATAATAACTTTCAGACAAATCTTTTTTAAATGATCTATTTCAGAAATAATACCTGACTTAAGTTTTTTATCATCCAGCGAAACATAAATTACATACATGTACAAATATAGGACACATATTTCTTGAAAAAGTGGAGTTATCTCTTTGAAGCCTGAGTGTGTTATAAAAAAAGGATTGATAGCAAATATATCTAAGAATCAAAATGAACCAATAATCATAAAGATGTCAAAATAAGAGTGGATAAATCGTGAAGGTGGTATGGAGAAATATCACATTGAAATATGGAAATGGAATGCCTACCAAGTAAAATGGAACAGTTTCACGACAAAATATGACGTATCCATTTTTCTGATATTTAAAAAATAAGGAAGATTTCTATTCTACACTCAAATATTGAACAAATCAGAGCAACTTTGTTTTTAAAGCAAAGATGATGACAGGATGAGCTGATATTTAAAATAAAGGGGACATTTAACTTCTAATCGTATCCTTTACATTCTTGAGATCTCCCTGCACTTTTGATCAAGTGTTTTTTGTCTACACAGATTTAGAAAAAAAGATTTATTCAACAAAATAACATAAACCCATATCTGACATAGAATAACAATTTCAAGAAAAATATCTGGTCCAACCTGAAAAAATGATAGCAAAACTAACAGATAGGGGTATTTAGTAAAACTAACTGTATCTGCAAGTCAAATACAACTTAATTTCCTTACAATCTGTATATTTGTCTGAATAGTTACTTTTTGACTTTGTTCAGCATTAAACCATAATACAACTTGTCTTTGCAGTAAATTAAACAAGGAGGGCTGAAAAGAAAACAAATATTAAAGCACAACAATGTGGATGATTGGTGGCCTCTTTTTGTACATTTCTCTATAGAAATACCTTTACTCTTTGGCACTTACATAACCTGTTCATGTCGCAATTGCTGTAAAATTTTACTAATTCTAAAACAAAACAAAATAATTATTTATCATATGTGAAGCAGCATGGTGAAATCAGGCGTTTGCCAAAGTATTAAAATCAAAGATATCGGCATTTTCTCTCCAGTTTGACAATTTTTTTTTAAACTTTGTTTTTTTTGGCTCAACACCTTTTATGTCCATTTAAAAACATATTTCTGGGTGGATTTTACCCCAAAAAAATTTATGAAAAGCACAACAAATGTAAATTTTCAGTTTCCAAGAACTCTCAAGGTGTGTATTTTTCCCCCCTAAAAAACGGTCAAATGAACAAGCTTTAAGATAAAACCAATAACAGCAGATGCCTAAAGATTGACGAGCGCCTGATTCCAGCACGTCATGACAGATATGACTTAGAATAGTCAGGAAGAGAGAGAACCTTTGACAATTGTTTCTCCACCACAAGCAAAGTCCTGTGACTCAAAACAAAGATCTTAACTGGCATGCAGAGGACACAACGCAGATTGTCAAGAAATGTCAGTGACTTATGTCATGTTTTGTTTAAAAAAAGAGCGTCATTTTTACTGCAGATTTTTACAAAATGGAAATTAACATTTTGTGAAAAATGAAGTCAAATCTTGAATTCACTTCTCCTTGCCACATATGAGGGTAATAGTTTCAGCTTTGCTCTAAAAAATGGCATTTGTCCCGTTTTGTCATGAAACTATTCAAATATATTTACTATTTGTATATATAATATTGCTTTAAATCTCTCCCTTCGCAGTATCTTTCTCTCTATCTCTGGCATTTCCACTTACTCTAGCACTTTTATTCCCGCAGTCAGAGTCATACAAATTCACTCAAGTGGAAGTTCACATGCGCATGCACAAACACAAATATAAGTAAATTAAAAATCTTTCAATCAAAACTATTTACATGATCTTTGTCTTTGTACTCTTGGAATAAAAAAAAATAGAACAATCATTGTGAATGATTTCCAAAGCAAATATCATGAAGTTTTTAACAATAATAATTACAAAGCACAATGTGAAATTTGCATAGCACATAATGTCATACATTTTAAGGCCTCCTTTTACCAATTATTTATTTCATCTATCAGGTAAATACATATATTTTAACACCAATTGTGAGAGAAAAAGCAAAATAAGCCTCCCCCCCCCCCACACACACACATACACAAACACACATTACTCCTGTACAAATGTAGACACAAAAAAGTGTTCAGGCTCGAGTGAAAACCATACTTTTGAAAAAAAATAAAATAATTTACAACCTAAGATAATGCCAAAAGCCTCTGCTCATGGAAGAAATTAAGATCATTCTGTCAGTACTCATCACCTCCACAAGACTAACTTCACATTATGACGCATTAACAAAGAATTGCATTCAATTTGAACATGAGATGTGTGAGGTATATATAACTCAAGAATAAAAGCTTCTTTTTTATTTGCTTTAATTTTTAAAAAGCTTTGTGTGCCCTTGTGTGAAACTTGTGAACCACCCGGTAGATTTACCAGGAAAATGTAAAACTTAATGAATTGTGAAGGAAGACTTTGATTTCGCTCCAGAACATGAAAATTTCTCCTTGTCACGGTAATACATTTCGTTCCAAATACAAGAACAAGCATGCACGCACTCTCGCACACAGACGCACACACGTGCGCGCGCGCACACCCACACACACACACACACACACACACACACACACACACACACACACACACACATACACACACAAACATATATTCAGATTTACAGCAATTCACCACAGGCTGTCAATAAGCTACAAAAAAAGATTACAACAATGCTGTGCTGTGATGAAAGATCGATTAGGACTGAAATTAGACAGGGTAAATTTTATACCAGGAATGAGATTTCAATTAGGATTAAAAAAGAAGGAAGATATAAAGTGATGGGCCAAAACAAAAATGAAAAAGGATGCTCTTCAAAGAAAGCTGTACAACACACAGACAGCCAGAAACACCCACACACACACACACACACACACACACACACACACAGGCACACAAGCACACACACACATGCACATAAATGATCTCTTGCCAATGTAAGGTTCTTCTTAAAATATATAATACCATGCATGATGAGATGACGAAACGTGACCACAATCAGTAGAATGAATAAGTTAAAAAGGAGAAAACCTGAAAGCCCGGATTTCAGGACCATTGGGAACAATTTCTATTGCTTAATCTATCACGGCGCTGGACATAATACCTGGTGACAAGACAAAAAGGTTTTTCCAAAAGAACGCCGATAAACCCATTATGATTAAAGGTAGAAACACCACAGCTATTTCCTTTGTAACAGATTCGCACAGAAGGCATGCCGTTGTCCTATCCGTTTATTAATATTTTCAGCTTTTTGAAAAGAAAATATCTCATAATTTTTTTAATAATGTTAATATTTAAAAGTTTCTTTTTTTCGGATACCCCTAGCAAGAATAAAGTAAAAGAGTTGTCTCTAGATACAAAAACACACAACTTAGCGGAGAGAAGAAAGCAAATGTGCAAGGGAAACATTAGAAATACCAACTACAAGTGAATTTTGGCTCAACTCTACAAATTTCCTTCCACAATGTTGTTGTCTCCTGACAACTTTTAACAGGTAAAAAAACATACAATGGGCGGCTACATCCTTCAAAGCAGCAAAAGTATTCCTGAATTTTTCGCACAATGGAAAGCAGTCACAATAAATCTGACATAACAGTACAAAAAGTTAACTTTACAAAATTGCATAGTGGATTGCAATCATAAGAAAAACTCTCATAACAGCAAAAAAACTAATTAACTTAGCAAAATCGCACGTGGGATAGCGATTATGATAAAACTCGCACAACATAAAAAAACAACTCACTTTACAAATATTGGATGACAGGCATGGTCTTGATTTCTGTCCATATGTTTCCTTTAAACAGGTAAAATATATATATATATATATGTAAACCTTAAGTAGAATGGCACAAAAATTTGGTCTTCAAAAACAAGTCATAGCGGGATTATACCCATCCCATGACTTCCAGATTTCCTTCCAGGGTCCTCATAACTGCACCAAAGTCGTGTCTCCGTCAAAAGGTTTTCGGTTTACAAAAGTCTCAGCTCCGACTAATGCAGGAGGAGAACAGCAAAGACTGTGATGACAGCAGCTGTCACAAAAGTAAAGCTCGTCTGAAGGAAAGATGCACCTAGGGAAAGAAGGAACAGAGAAGAATTTTTAATCTGATGGATCAGTGGGCACACCTGGGCAAAACTACCTGGGCTCCTATATGCACCAAAAGCCCACCTGAACATACTGGTCTGCAGTTAAAATGTACTTGCCCCAAAATTTTGACAATTCTTTAAAAATTGCAAAAACTTAACTAGCACAGGCAGCATCTTAAAAATAAATGTGAGGTGTGCTGACAGAATGAGTTACTTCTAGCAGTCAATGGAGATGTGAAACAAAAATAAACACACCAAATTTGCAGATTTTTAACAGATGTCATTTTCCTCAAATATAACATGTCTTTATCATTTCATATACTAAATTATTCAAACCGAACTTACAAATTTCATGCATCTATCTGAGTCCATAGGGTCAAAATCTGACAATTAACTCATTTTATTAGCAAGCCTGATATTTGACATTGGATTTGCGTTGGCATCCTTTATCATCTTTTTTTTTAAAAAGGCATTTTGGGAAAAGATACACTACATGTGCTGCACAGGCCATCACCTTGCTTTAGTTTTTTCTCATACTGGTGACTTTAAGGGTGACTTGGGATAACCCAAAGGGGGGAGGGGGGGAGGGGGAGGGGGGAGGGGGGAGGGGGGGGAGGCCCGTTACCAAACCCATGGCACAAGGGGAAGAAGAACATGGTTTACAATACATAACAACCATGTGCTTTAAAACGCTATCTTCTCCCTCAAACTCGAATCCAGGGGGAAGTTTAAAGTTAAATCAATTTATGAGAGATCTAGAGGAAATTAATGGAATGGCAGAAGCTGATACTATCATGGTGGACAGTTGAAATAATAACATAGATAAGGCCTGTATACATGTACATTTACATATTATAGTTTACTGTTGGTACTTTGAAGAAGACTACTGTGTTCATATTTGGAGGGAGCTCATTACGACAGAGACTACTATAGAAAAATAGGGCAGGGGAAGGGGAAGGGGGGGGGGGGGTATTTAGACAGCAAAGAGACAATTTTTTCTTGACAGAATGTATAGCACATCAGAGTCCACAGAGTGTGTGCTGAGCAGTGTTCTTTCATTAGGAAAGTCTATGATGTGATAATACTGCTTGTAAAAAATATTGCATGATGAGGTTAACGTTCAGCACTCAAGGTTTTTTAAAAGTCTTTCAAGTTTACATTTTTTGCGGACAACGGCTGTTTGTTCATCATCCTGCGCGTTTAGCAATCTGCTGGTGGTCACATTCTCTCGCACTAAGTGAAAGTAAATTCTGACCACCAACACCAGCTCTGCCACATTTTCCTTGTTAAAAAAAAAAGTAAGCTACAGTTAAACTCTCACAAGTTGGTACATCCACTGATTGGACACTGCATCCTTTTTCCGTGTTTTTCAAAACAAACAAAAATTTGTTTTTCCCATTAACCATGAATACCTGCTTGCCTACCTGTACAACAATTCTATTTTTCAATATCAAATCTTTGATCTTTTTAAAAATATTTTAATGGGTAGTAATGACAACTTGTAGCTTTAAAACATGTCTTTTTATGTTGGAACAGTAAATAGATCTGTAGTTTCATCAGAGCTTGCTGTAACAAGACAGGGAATATGCTTACAACATGTACGAGTTAAAGACTGTGATCTACCTTTATCGTGGCCAAGTTTACCATTAAGGGAATCCATTTACATGTTAAAAGACATGCGAGGTGAACGACTGGTTTAGGACAGGTTGGATACCAGCTCTCAATCTTTTAAAAGACAGGTTGAACAGGTTTTTAACGACGCAGAATGTCAGTGTATCTGAACAACAACAAGAAGAACAGCTGCTTTTCACTTCTGAAAAGCTCCCTATAATGTTGCTCTGTTTGATGGAAACACATACTGGTTACATTCCTTCCTGTGTGTCTTTTTTAGCTTTCGTAAAAGTTTTATAGCACTTGAAATACAAATGGGTCATATAGGTGCTGAAGGTTATTAGAGTTAGAGACGCTATAAAACAGTAGAATACACAAAAAGAAGAAATAGAAATAAGGATAATAGATGTTTCATAAGGAAAGAGGAGCAAACCACACCACAGCCCCCACTAACCACCCACTTTATGTGTGTCTGTCTTTGCTGGTGTGAACAATCTTCCAATGAAATAAACGACATTCTCACACAGTTTCAGCATGTTCTTTATATTAAATAAACAGATCAGAAATTTGTTTATTATAGACTCATTCCAGCTCTTACCATCCCCTGGCCCCCAGGTGTGGGTCACAGTACAGTTCCTCTCGTCTGAGCCGTCGTGGCAGTGTAACAGCCGGTCACATCTCTGGCCAATGGGCACACACATCTTGCCGCTGTCACATGTGAAGTTCGTACCTTGCACACACTGAGACAGGTCAAAGTTGGGAGGCAGAACTGAAAACAAACAAATATTGTTTTATTTTTGTCTTAGTAAGCGTTTTATGGTACTTGCAACACAATAAGGTCATATAAGTGCAGAAGATTTCAGGTGTTTAAAGAGAGTAACAAACACAAATAAAGAAAGAGGAGAGAGAAGGACGATAGATTTCAATAGGAAAGAAGGAGAAAACTCCACCAGAACACCCATAAATCCCCTGCAAACAAATGTTTTAAACAATTCTTAATAGCAATGGCTCATAAATAGTGGGCTCTTATTGAATGTTATAGTCTTATGTGAACGTAAGAAAAGGAAATCCTTTTATAATGTTTACAAAAAAAGAGTAGTGCATAAGACTCTTCATTTCCTAATAACATTAATGTTTGTCTGTCTGAGTAAAGAGAAGCGCATTGACACAACAATGGCTGTTTAGCGCTGAGAAAAAAAATGACAGACAGACAGAAACAACAGAGGGAAAGTTATGAAGTAGGACCTACCAGTGGCACCCTCAATCTACCCACCTACCTAATAACAGTATCCACTATTTACATGCTTCAACAAAAACATTGCTGTGCTATATATCTGGCCTGCTGAGGAAGTTGAGTAATATTTTCCAAATAAGGAGGTGTGAGTGACCTTTGAATACTGCAAAACAGGACCAATGAAAGGCATATGAATCGCACATGTTTTAGTAATTATACAAAACAAATGTTTCACACCATTCATAAATTTCAGAGATTGCAGTCATGAAACACATTATGATTCTTCTCTGTAGTAGGTTATAAAAGCAGGAGAGGAGAAAAAAAAATTAAAATAACTAGCAGCATAAACAAAACCAAGAAACATAAAAACAACAAAAAAACAACAAGGACAGCAGCAAATGAGATGCAAAAGCAACACAATGTACATGTCGTATTCCCATCTACAAAAAACAAGAACACTGACACCATAACCACAATAACGATTAAAAAGTTATCATAAACATTGGGCTAGCTGTTCACATGTACTGAGCACAAAATTGGGATTTTGAACTTTTTAAAATGCAGTTTCTTAATCTGTACTAGGCTATTCATTGCATATGCTCTAGAAATATTTTGTTGAAATTCAAAAGATGAATATTGAAAAAAAAAGCAAGAAAAAAAGAAAAAATATAGATCTATGCAATAAAGGTTAGACTGTTAACAGAATGAAATAGTTTTTCCTCTTTCCAGAAAAATGTTGTTACCTGGACTTGGTACATAATTTGAACAACAAGCCAACATGATAAATGTAGCCACAGTTGCAACATTTAGAACATGATACAAAACAAGCATTGCCACCCCCCAAAAAAAAATAATAAAAAAATAAAATAAAATAAACAAAA